TTACTATTAAGACAGTAAGATTGCGCAGTGTGTGGGAGAAAAAGCGAGGCTACACCCATGAATTTGAAAAAGGGTACTTCTACATACATACTTACCTTGTTGTAAACATACACATGAACACAGTGAAGCACATCAGGAGCAAGGTGATGAAATTTCTTAAACATAACACCTTAAAGGAACGAATCAAAGGGCCTGGGGACTCAGGACTATGGTGTCAGGGTACACCAAAATCAACTAATATAACAGCACAGAAAGGCAGTTGTCTAAATCTTTAGTGTGTAGAAACTGGGATCTTAAAAGCTGTGTGTAGTGGTTACATGTTACGCTGCTAACCGCAAGATCGGCAGTTTAAAATCACTATCATGCTCCTTGGAAGAAGGATCAGGCTTTCTACAGTCTCAGAAGTTCACAGGGGCAATTCTGCCCTATCCTATGAGCCAGTACTGACTCAATGACAGGGGCGAGAAGGGGAATACTAACAGCAGGGAGCTACATATTCCTTAGAATAATCAACCACGTGTGAGCAAAGGGGCAATTATCCAAAGACACAGTTCAAAAGGGTTAGGAAAGGAGGGATGGAAATGGGAAACACAAGGAGGAAGTGGGTTAAGTGACATTGCATGGTGGTAATTACAATGGATGACAGGAAACAAAATGGGTATGAACTGTTGAATGGAAAATTGATCTGTAAATTTTCCCCAATTTTACAATTAAGCTTTTTAAAATATTAAAAGGACAGCTCATTGAAACACATTAATGTGTGTACACCAGCTGAACTTGCACATCATGTCTGCTACCAAAAAGGTTAAAAACCCATTTTACCTTTTTTGCCTTTTCTAGCAACTTTACAGTCATGTTGCCAGTTCCAGGTCCAACTTCCAGGACAACATCGGTCGGTCTCAAGGCAGCCTAAAAGCAAGCAAACATGAGCTCTCATCGCACATCTGAACATAGAGTTAATTCATATACCCCGGACAGCTCTACTCAGAAGCCTCCTTCATGATAGTAGTTTCACAAAACTACCCTGTTAACATTAGGTGCAAACGGAAATCTAACACCTCTCTCCTCCACTTCCAGTCAGGAGAGCAGGTACTGCAGCTCTTTCTGGGATTGCCAGCCATTCTGCTTTTTCCCTTGGGACTCTCAACATTTTCTTACTCTGCTCTTATCAGAAATGTCGAAAAGGGAAAGGGCTGGGTACTGTGACCCTGCCTGACAATCAGAGTGCTACATCAGGAATTCACAAATCTCAGTCTAAGCATAGGTTTCAGGAGATGCAGGATTACCCAGGATTTTTACAGAAACTCATATATGTACACAGCTGCAGTATTCTGGGTCCATAGCTTCACTAAGAAATGGTCAAAGAATCCACGCAAAAGTTTCAACAGCAAGGCCAATCCTCGTTTTGCAAATGGCACGAAATCAGGAGGAGACTACCACTTGTATTTCTTTCTTCTTCCAGCCAGTTTGCATCTTTATGGATGCTAGAAGCTCCTGCCTTCCCTGCAGATTTCCAGCGGGTACAACTCTCCTTCCGCTGCCTTTTCTTGGTCATCAGGGACTCCGTGCATGGCTTGAATTTTCATGGTGCGCAGGTCTGGGGATCTTCTTTCTTGCCTTTGTAGAACTTCCAGATCTGTCTCCTGAATCAGGCTGATGAGTGAGACCTCGGACAATGGGTCTGAAGACATCCTCGGCTTTGGCGACTGTGCATACCACCTTATCACACTGGGAATGTGCAGCGGGGGCAGCTCCACCTCAGCCTCCAGCTGCTCTGCATCTCTTCTTTCTTGCTAGAGGTCTTGGGCCTAGATCTTGGCCGTGGTTGAGCACGGGAGCCCCCTATACCACTTACTTTTCATGTCCTAGCCCCTGGTCACCAGTGACCCATATAAAAGAAATATTCCAAATAATTTGTATGTGGCAAGGATTACAGCGTATACGTTTTCTGGGAGAAAAGACTTCCTAATGTGAACTTTATGCACAACTTTAGGCTCCCAAGCAAACAGAAACAGACAGTGATCAATGGAGGGGTAACAACAACCTGCGACCTTCACCCTGATGGGGAAGTGGCGAGTCTACAGAAAGAAGCCCGAACCTACGGAGTGAAGCACATCATGTCGAAGACAGCATGTAAACATACAATTATTCAATTAATTCAACAAATATTTGTAGCTCATGTATACCGCGTATAAGCAGCCCTGGCGAAACAGTGGTTAAAGTGCTTGGCTGCTAGCCAAAAGGTGAGTGGTGTGATCCATGCCATAGAGCCCTGGAAGCCTATGGGATCGTTCTGCCCGGGCCCTGGGGTCCTTGAGTCAGAATGCCAAGCACAGCAGTGGGCGGGTTAGGTTTGGGGTTATACTTCGGGATTCCTTCAACAAAATCTCTTAACTATGCTTTCAACAGGGAACCCTCCCTTTCCTTTCACCCACCTTGTCGATAATGCTGTTAACAATGAGAGGATTTTTCAAAATGTGCTGCCCAATCCCCTTGTTGAACATGAGTCCTGGGGGGGGGAAGCAAAGCTTTAATCTTCCAACTAGATCAGACGTGAGGCGCCCCGAGCGTCAAGCCCTGGGCAAAGGCTGTAAGTCCGGCCCTTCTGCTCCCGAGGCCGGAGGCGGCGATCCGGGCCTGCGGCAGCGCCCGCGCCGGTTTCCGTGAGGCACACGGCTCAACCCCGTCCCCTCCCGGCGACCCGCACCTCCGGCGCTCTTCAGTTCCCGGCGCTGTTCCTGCCGCTCGCGGCGCCGGCCGCTCGCGCCCGACTTGGTTTTCGGCATCTCTGCGGAGAACGAAAGGCCGGGCCCCGAGTCACAGGACCACCAGCGACTCTCCGTCCCCGCCGTGCGCTACACTCCCGGACACGAGGGCGAACGCCCGCCCCTACGCTCGCCCCACGCTCCGCCCCCAGGCAAGAGGGCCGCCCTTGGAGCCCAGTGGCTGCCGGGAATTGTAGTCTCGAACTGGAGACAGGAACTACTCGGAAAACTACAGATCCCGAAAGACACCGCGCTTCTGAGTCCACAGTTTTGATTGGCTGTTTAGTTTAGAATCAGGCACGAGGTTTTAAATCCTTAATCTCACAGGCGTTAGTTATATAGATGTTGGTGTGGCGCGCTCGGCGTTGTAAACGCTTTTTATTGGGCACGCGACGGCTTTATGAAATCAGATTCTGGGATCGCTGGAATTAAAAAATAAGTTACTTTCCATCTGGCCGTGTCCCCTCATTCGTGTTTTCCTGCAGGTCTCAAAAAACCTCCAAAAAACTCCAAACTCTGCCATTGTGTAGATTATGACGCACAGCGACCCTATGGGACAGGGCGGAACTGCTCCTGTGGGTTCCTAAAATTAAAACTCCTTATGAGAGCAGAAACCTCATCTTTGTTCCACAGAGCAGCTGAGGGCCAGGTTAGCAGTCCTACATCTAACCCTACACCACCAGGGCTCTTGAAAGAGAACCTAGGGAGGTGAGGAATCCATGCGCTTGGGATAAGGCGCTTGATACTGCTGGGGAGTCAGAATTTACATAAGCAACTGCCCTCCTCAACGTTGAGAGAGATCAAAAAGTGCCAAATGCTGTGAAGGTGGTCATAGGAATGCGTTGTGAACATTGTGATAGGGCATTTTACTGAACTATAAGCTCCAGTGCAAAGTCCATGTCAGTGGCTGTTTTACACTTTATGGGTGTGCCTTATTGCCTTAAATGTCATAGATAAGAGTACTAATGATGTGATTTCAACTCACTCCCTGACATGGAGTCGATGCTGGCTCATTAGCAACCCTGTAGGACAGTAGAACTGCCCCTGTGGGTTTCGAGGATCACCTGGTGATTTTGAACTGCTGACCTTGCAATCCGAAGCATAGCCACTGCCCCACCCCACAACTGGATCAATAGGTTGTTATATGCCGGAAGAGACCACTATAATTCCACGAATCGAAAAACTGGATCAATAGGTTGTTATATGCCGGAAGAGACCACTATAATTCCACGAATCGAAATTAGGCGTCTTTATTAAGGCAGTGTCCAAGGGAGAAATGGTGTCACTTAAAACCCTGAGGCCCTGAATATTAGTTAGGCAGGGTATATATAGGCAAAAACCGTATCCTGTTTTTCAAGCTGCCAGGTACAGTGAACTCCAGCTGCATTTTGTTTTCCGAGCTGTGGAGTACAGACATTCCACTCTAATTAACCAGGCTGATTACAGGAGCTAAGAGAAGCACTGGTCTAGATAACATCCTGAAACAGGGTGGGGGTACATACCTAGTATCAGAATAAAATTTACAATAACATCCTGGAAAAGAGTGTGGGCAGAGAGCTATCTGAAGGCTACCAACTTAGATTTGGAAAATTACCAGAATAGCTTGACATAGCAAACTATCAACAGGGCAGTGGGCTATAGGGGACATGGTCCTAAGGCAAGATGGCATTACCTATACTTCTCTGGGGGGGATAGGCCGCAATACTGGGGGTAGGTGCGAACAGGTAACATCATGAAAAATAAAGAAAAGAGTGAAATTGTCAGGGTTTTTTTTAATTGTCAATTTCATCCTAAATCTGTAATCAGTGTTCATGGAAGTACCAATCAAGAGATCAAACGATGCATTATGTAAATCTGCACAAGATGTCTTTTAATTGTTAAAAAAATAATTGTAAAAACTAACAACAACAACAAGGATGTTACTTTATAGACCGACTCAAGTCATGGTACTCATATGGATCTGAAGGTTGGACATTGAGAGGAAGACCAAGGGAAATCGAAGCATTTGAACTATGATATTGGCGAAGAGTAGTGAAAGTGCAGTGGACTGCCAAAAGCACAGATTGTTCTTAGAGGCAAGGTTGGCAAGACATCCATTGTACTTTGGACATGTTTTCAAGAGCGACCAGTCCCTGGAGAAGGGCATTACAGTTGGTACAGTGTAGTATTAAATTTAAAAAATTGGTGCAGAGGGAGGTGGGGGGCCAGCCCCCACCGCTGCTACCAATACTATTCAACGGGTTCAGTAATACTACTTCTGGGTTCAGTAATACACAATTGTACGGTTGAGATATATAAGCATTATATTAAAGTCATTGAGAGCATGAGAGATAATACAATAATACAGTCAGGCATGTTACATAGTACCATTGCTCACCTCAGCCC